TTTTTCACATTTCTCTGTCTCTCAGCGTCAGGGCCTGTATTTGAAAGGTAAAAGGCAAATTCTTGGCCGAGCTTAATTGCAGATTCGATTATCTTAGATGAGTCAAAGAAAGTAGTCTCTGAGAAAAAATATCTATTGCCCTTTGTCCAAAGAGATTAGTGTCAGCTCTGGCAGGGGAAGCATAAGAGATTTAGGGGAGAGAAGAAAGTTTCTTACTCCCTTTCTCCACTGCCTGCTGGTTCTTGGTCTAAATCTGCAACATCCATATCCTGCACCAAGAGCTGCACCATATATAGTTGCCCATGTGAGGTTCTATTTATTGAGCTTTTGCCTTGTGCTGGAGTCAGCCTTAGCACTTTACATGCATTACCTCGTTGTCTTTAGGGACTCTAAAAGTGCCATCAATTGAAAGTTGTTTGATCTTCTAGAGAGTAGGCACCACTGCCACTTCTCACTTCAGTCCTTTCATTCATGCATCCAGCAAGGATTTATTAAATACCTTTTATGGGCCAGGAATTGTGCTAGACACTGTGTATACATTGGTGAATAAAATAGACATATTTTCTGCCTCTGTGGACCTTATAGTGATAGAGACAGAGAAGGAGGAGCCGCTTGGCTAGGGTGCCTCTGAGAAGGTTACATTTCGGCACAGACCTGAAGAATGAGGAGTCATGCTAAGAATGGAGAGATCATTCTAGAACAAAGGGAAACCACGTGTGTGCAGATCTTGAGACAAAAACAATCCCAAGGGGGTGTTCGTGGAACTGAAAGAAGGCCAGCGTGGTTGGAGAATAGCGATAAGAGGGAGACTTGTAGGTGAGATTGGAGAATTAAAAACATTAGATTATCGAAAGGCCTTATATACCATATAAGGAGTTTGATTTCTTTTCTCAAGGCAATAGAAAGTTTCTGAATACTTTTAAGCAGGGGAGTGATATAATCTGATATCACTGTATCAGATATATCTATTTTTTAAGGATTTTACTGTATTATATTCTGCTTCAGTTTTTTTTTAAAAGGGAAAAAGACTTTAAGGAATAAAGATGACTCTGGCTACTGTGCGGAGGGTTAGAGAAAGGCAAACGTAGAAGCAGGTTGAGCAAGGAAGAGGCTCTTATTGTAATTCACATACGAGATATTGGTGTCCTGAAAAAAGGTAGTAGCATTGAAAATGGGGAGAAGAGGACAAAGTCAAGGTATATTTAGGAGGCATAGGTCTTGACATATTATAAAGGAAGAATGAGGATGAGAGAAAAATGGAGAATGGCTTTGATGTTTCTGGCTTAAGCATTGGGGTGAATAGTGTCATTTATGACAGTGCAGAGATTTAGAATGGAACAGATGAGAGGAAGCATGACTTTGATTTGAGATTCCTTCAGTTTGAGATTTCCATGAGACCTCCGAGAGGAGATACCAGATAAGCAGTTGGATACATGAGATCGGAGTATAGAGAGAAATGGGCTTTAGATATAAATTTAGATACAAATTTAAATAGTATGTATACCCATGGACATGGCTGAGAACCCAAAAGGGCAGAGTGAAGAGAAAGACGAGAAGGTCTAGGGCCAAACCCAAAGATGCTCCAACACATCGATGAGGAGGCTCCCGCAAGAAAACTAACAAAGAACAGCCAGAGGAAAAGGTCAGGAGAATGGACAAGGAACTGATAAAAATAAGTGCTTCAAAAAAGGGATGACAGATGCTGCAGAGAGATTCAATAAGATGAAGACTAAAATGTGACCACACTGGCTTTGGAAATAATGTAACTAGTGAGCTTGCCGTGAGCAATGTTAGAAAAGTAGTGCTCAAGGATGCCAATTGGAGAACATTGAGAAGTGACAGGAGGAAAAACCTGATGTAGAGAACCCAAAGCTACAATTAAATGTAAATGGTTTATCCGGTGGAACTTTGCACGACTCCACTAACGGAGCAGTGTCAGACACATGAACACTGCTGTGAGGTCAAAGGTTCCAATGTCATGGCTACTGGGATTACTTTACCCAGACGGATCATTACCCTTTCTCTCTACCTCTGACCTCGGCTCATCTAGAAGTCATCAGTATACTTTTGGTGTGTTTTCCAACTAGACTCTTGGGAAAGTCTTGCATTGAAAACCCTCTTGGACGCATAATCATTTTCTCAAATCTCAGTGCAGATTTCATCTCTCCTCTGGAATCTCCTTTGACTTTCTCAAGTATAATTAATAATTGTCTCCTCTGGAGTCCTATAATATTTTACATGTTCCTTGGTTATTGCAGTTATCAAATTGGTTTATAATTGCTTAACTAGACTGTGAGCACAGTGAGGGAGGGGACTGGGTTTGGAAAGTAAGGTTGGCTTCCAGTGTTGGCTCCCAAACAAACAGGCCCAGTTTACAGCAGGATTCCACCCTCTTGTGCTGCATAGTATCCCTCTATACCCGCAGTTCTTCCCATCTCTCTTCTGCTTTATCCCACCACCTCTCAAGGCCATTATAATAGAGTTAGGATCAAATACAATTGGCCCCTGAACAACAGGATTTGAACTGCACGGGTCCATTTATATGTGGATTTTTTTTTTATAAATATGTACAGTAGTGTAAATGTATTCCTCTTCTTTACAATTGTCTTAATAACATTTTCTTTTCTCTTGCTTACTTTATTGTAAGAATACAGTGTATAATATATATAACATACAAAATATCTATTAATGGACTTCATTTTATTGATAAGGCTTCTGATCAATAGTAGGCTATTAGTAGTTAAGTTTTGGGGGAGTCAAAAGTTATATGCAGATTTTCAACTGTGGGGGGGCGGTTGGGTATCTCTAACCCCCACAAAGTTCAAGGGTCAACTATAATGAATTCAACTAATTTAGCTTTTGATTCGGACGGAGTAGGTGTCAAAATATATTTGTAGCCAAAGCTTTCTCTAATTCATACACTAAAAGAAGTATATTCTGCATGGTTTTGTTTTGTTTTGTTTTGTTTTACATCTTAAACTGCAACATGTATCTTTAGTTTAGGTCCCCCCACCATTAGCCAAAGAAAATTAAAGCATTTTGAGTACAATTGCAGACAAGGTTCTGGAATCTGGCCATTCTTGGTGATGCAGAATATACTATGTCAGCTGCCTTTTATGTTACCATAATTATTGAAACCTCTATTTAAAAATTTCTGACAGAACTTGGAGACCTCAGAGGTCCTTAGACTGGTTGGAGAAACAGCAATGTAGTAGTACCTGACATCAGGTGAGACGTCCCAGTGTATCTCTCATCGTAGAAAGGTTTAAAAAAGTTAGCACTGATTGCTCCTGGAAATGCTCTGTTTATAGTAGCTCTTAGGACCTCATAGTTTTTAAAAAATTTTTCCTGAAAAAGATTCTCTTTAATTTTTAATTATATATTATTGAAGTATAATTGACATGTTTTAGATGTACAACATAATGATTTGATATTTATATTCATCATAAAATGATCACCACCACAAATCTAGTTAATGTGTCATTATACATAGTTACAAATTTGTTTTCTTGTGATGAGAACTTTTAAGATCTATTCTCTTGGCAACTTTCAAATATGCAATACAGTAGTATTATTAACTATAATCACTATGCTGTACATTATATCCCCATGACTTATTATTTATTTTATAACTGGAAGTTTGTACCTTTTAACTCCCTTCACCCATTTCGCCACCACCTCCCGCAACCACCAATCTGTCCTCTGTATCTATGAGTGTGTTTTCTTTCCTTTTTTAGATTCCACATATAAGTGACATCATATGGTATTTGCCTTTCTCTGTCTAGCTTATTTCACCTAGTGTAATGCCCTCAAGGTCCATCCATGTTGTTGCAAGTGGCAAGATTTCATTATTTTTAGTGGCTGAATAATGATTTATTTATCCATTTTTATCCATTCATCGAGCAGTGGACATACATGTTGTTTCCATGTCTTGGCTATTGTAAATAATGCTGTGATGAACGTGGGATTACGCCTATCTTTTCAAGTTAGTTTGTTTTTTTTTCCTTTGGTTAAATACTCAGCAGTTGAATTGCTGGATCATATGGTAGTTTTATTCTTAATTTTTTGGGGAACCTCTATACTGTTTTCCATAGCGGCTGCACCAATTTACAATCCCACCAACAGTGCACGAGGGTTTCCTTTTGCCCATATCCTCGCCAACACTTGTTATTTCTTGTCTTTTTGATAGTAGTTATTCTGACTGGTGTGAAGTAATATTTCATTTTGGTTTTGATTTGCATTTATTTAATGATTAGTGATGTTGAGCACCATTTCATTTACCTGTTAGTCATCTGTATGTTTTCTTTGAAAAAATGTCTATTCAGGTCTTCTGCTCATTTTTTAATTGGATTTTTTTTTTTTTTGCTATTGAGTTGAATGAGTTCTTTATGTATTTTGGACATTTTGTTCTTGTCAAGATTGCTTTGGCTATTCCCTGTCTTTTGTGTTTCCATACAAATTTTAAGATTGTTCTGTTTCTATGAAAAAATACCATTGGAATTCTGATAGGGATTGCATTGAATTGATAGATTGCTTTGGGTCGTATGGGTATTTTAACAATATTAATTCTTCCAATCTATGATCAGGGTATATCTTTCCACTTATTTGTGTCTTCAGTTTCTTTCATTAATGTCTTATAGTTTTCAACATACAGGTCTTTCACCTCCTTGGTTAAAATTTATTCCTAAGTATTTTATTGCATATTCTGCTTTAATCCAGTACATTTCATGCCCCATTCCCAGGCAGGATAATTACAAAACTATTCTTTGGGAAATTCTTCATAAAGAACCAAAAAAATACAGATTTCTGGACCCTCTGCTGAGAAAATCTGCCTTCCTGCTTCTAATCAAATGCTGCCCTTGTATTCAGGCTTAAAGAAATAACCCATGATTTTGAGGGGGCCAGGCCTCTATCTATATAGCTTTTCTTGTACTTTACCCGCTAATGTGGCATGGGAGGCATATGACTCTATTACTGACTTTTGGTGTTTTGTCTTTCAGAACCAGAGGCAGGAGAGGTGTCCCCTCCAGTCGGTGCTGGTGTCAACAGCAACAGCTGGACCTTTAAATACGGACCAGGCAACCCCAAACAATCTGGTCCCGGTGAGTTGCCAGACAAATTCATTATCCCAGGATCTCCTGCAATCATCTCCATCCGGCAGGAGCCTACTAACAGCCAAATTGACAAAAGTGACTTCATAACCTTCGGCAAAAAGGAGGAGACCAAGAAAAAGAAGAAAAAGAAGAAGGGTAACAAGACCCAAGACAAAAAAGAGAAAGGGAACAGCACGACTGACAACAGTGACCAGTGAGGTCATGTAATGGAAACAAGCCACTTAGCCAGTTTTTGTAATAATGGCAAATCCTTCCCATGTAGCAACGCCCTACTCCTTTCTCCTATCTACGTGAGCCCTCTCTTACTAGACCTCAGAAATCTGCAGAAAGTTCCCTGTGTCTGTCTAGATCTCATTTAACGGGTTTTGTCTTAAAAGCTTTACTAAGTCTGGTGTTAACTCTTTTCTCCACTCTGGCTTGTTTTCAGAACCTAAAAAGCAGACCCAAGTTTCCTTTCTCCTCCGCCGAAAAGGAGAGGCTTCCCAGCCCCGCCAGTGAGAGGTTGGACTCTCTGCCCTGTGCTCCGGGGATCCTGTCTTGATGACACTTACAGGGCAGGCTGAAAGGTTTTGAGATTGAGCAGCTTGGGTATCTGTGGCCACTGGGTATGTGTGGCTACTGGGGGTGTGTGAGTGTCAGATGTTGGCTGGGATGGGCCAGATTAGTCTAGCTGGTGCAAGGAGGGCTGGGAAACCAAGGCAAATAAACAGTGGGAGTTACCAGACTGGAGGGGGAATGTGAAATTTAAAAGGGACCAGACTTTCTAAATCTTACAACTCAAGAGGCGGTGGCCACCCTCTAGCAGACAAAACCACCTTCACTGACAAGGCTTTAGGAGTCCCTAAAGTCTGTTGGCTGTGATGTCACTATACCTAAAACTCACATTGTATCTACAAGCCAATAGCTCAGTGTTTAACAGGGGCAAGCCAGGGCGACAGAAGCAGATCTGATGTGTTTCCTGTACATGTCCTTGTGCTCACTATATTAAAAATTCTTTTGCACACAATGTTTGTGAAAAGGCCAGATCCTTTTCCAGCAACACATATGCAAAAGCTAAAGAGAAAAAGAAAACCCCAACACCTCACTTATGCTGTTTGTTGTTTGATAGATTTATTTAAGAAAGAGAAAATCTATAAGTATAAATCTTTAAAGAGAACTATGATGAGAGCAATGCCCCTAAACTCCCCTTAAAAGAGAATTCAGTCGACAGCCATTTAAATGATCATTGCTGCTACAGAAGTGCTTTAAGAGAACTGCCTGAAACATCTGTATTATACCGGCCACCTGCCAATCACAGCTTTACTCTTTCAGGTCACTCTGAGGCTGCCTCTTGCATGTATTGATTACTAAATAAAAAAATCTTTCTCTCTCTCTTTTCTAAGAAACAATTATGTGCACTTTGAATACACAACCTTCTCTAGCTAACTATATCAAGACCCAGAAATTGAAGGAAAATATTGTTTTCTCATATGTACAGTGAGCAGACTTTTCAATCTAATTCTGTGATTTGTCTTGGTGTGCGAGCCTCCACCTTCGCTTTGGTTTCGTTTACCTTTTCTATTACACTCTGAATTGCTAATCTTGCTAACACCTATGATGTTCCTGAAATCAATCTCCCATATGTATGCTGTATGCTATTATAAGACTCCTGAAATATACTTACTCTGTGCTTGTGTATGTGAATGTTAATGCAACTATTACCTAGAGTGAACTTTAAGCTTTACTGTTGAATGTAATTCCATTATATTTCCTTTTGTACACCTGTGAAAAAGTGGAGTAGCAGTTTTTTTAAACCATTGTTAATTTAATCAGCTTTTGTGTATGTAAGACACAGTAAAATTTCTTTCTTTAATCAAGATAATGGTGATTCAAGGAATTTTATTTATGGTCAGCCAAGAGCTGCTCCCTTGCCAAGACTCCTGCTGGCAAGGGAATGGGTAAAGCTGTTTTTTTCTAGTAACAATTCTGGAATGAATACTGAAGATATTCCCTGAGGGTGTGCAAGCACAAAATTTATCAATCTGACCTCTTTGAAAGTTGCAGAATGCTTTGAAATTTTAATGATAGCTGGAATATCAGCTCATAGAGAAAATTAAAATTTACTGTCACCTTAAATAAGAAATTTTAACTTTGTTAAAATGTATAATTTAGAAATTTGAGTAATTATCTTTTAAAAGTTAACGTAAAAGAGGTAGGAGTCTGTTATTAAAACAAAAGCATTAAATCTCAAAAAAAAAATCTGTTTGTCTACTTTTAGCTTCATTCTCCCATATTTTGAAGGGTGTGTAACTTCAGCTCTGCAGGATTGCATGGGGTAAAACTTCTTACCAACACATGCGAACCATTGCTACATTGTAGGTTGTGATCATTTTGCCCCACTGAAACCCATGTATCTGACCTTACGTGCCTTTTGAATACTAGGAGAATTGGGCTAATTTATTAATGATGATAATTATAATGTATCTGTACAGCACTTTTCACCTTGACAAAGTGCTTTCCAATCCATGTTAGTTACTAGTTATTACAGCTGTAAGGATAAAACACATCATGTGGATTCATTTTTAATTGGTGCTATTGGTATTTCCTCTGTTATTACTAATAAATGGAAAATGGTGGTATGAAAGAAATGGTGGTCATTTCTAAGTATAAGAGTAGGAGAAAATAGCACATTGATTATCCTTAGTTGTTATTATTGAAGAAAGTTGCAGTATGGAACTTACTGTATCACCCTCTGGCTATCTCCCTGGCTCTTATGCTCATTACTATGGCAGAACACTCAATGGAACCAAACTTCATAATATTACTAGAATGGGCAGCCAGTAGGTTTCTGGGTCACTTCCTAGTACACTATTTCAGTCTTCTCTAATACGAATTGCAACAAACCAATTTTTATCACTAGAGTACTCTAGTCATTTTGTTCATTTTTTGTTTAGCCCTTGCACCTCTCTACAGTTGAGAAGTCAAATAATGCTCCTCAAGAATTTAACTTTTATTGAGTATGGGGTATGTGCCAGCCACTGTAATAGGTTCAGTTCGTGGTACATGTTATGTAACAAATGGACTATATTTTCCTTCTGTAGTTAAATTTTTATGAGTATAGACTTTCAATGCAGTGATTCTCAACAGGGAACATTTTTGGTTTTTGTTACTTGAGTGAGGAATGCTACTGGCACCTAGGAGGTAGAGGTCAAAGATGCTGGCAAAGACCCTATAATGCACAAGACAGTCCCCCACAACAAAGAATCTCCCAGCTCAAAATGTCAGTACCAAGACTGAGAAACCTTGGGATAAGAGTGACCATTTCATTTGTTATCGAGTCTATTTTTGAGATAGAGACACCATTAATAATTACCAGATGTGGACTGCGATTATCCCAGACAAACCAAGATGTATGTGACTCTACTCAAAGAAAGAAAGAAACTGGTACAGCTCTGTCACTTACTAGAACCTTAAGAAAGCTACTATTCTCAGTTTTCAGCCTCTGCTTCACCATCTATAAAATAAGAATAATTATAGTACATACTTTATAGATTTGTAGGGGAAGATTTAGTGAGATAATCTCAAAAAGATTTTAGAGGTCTGGCACACCATAGTGCTCAATGAATAGCTATTAATATTAATAACCTTTTCCTTCCATTTCCTTACCCCTCTTTCGCACATTTAGCTATTACACTCAGGGCACTTTCCCTCCTGATTAAATTGTGAATGAGGGATGGTAAAATAAGTCAACGTAGACTTTGCAATAAAAATATTTTTTACTCCTCCACTTTTTTGCTCACCCCTGAAGGAAAAAAAAAAAAGAGATGGAACCTCTTGAAGTCAGTTACATAACTCTTTATCTATTTCTATTATGAATAATAATCAGGGGTCTAAGTAAGTGGTCAAGTCACTAGTCTCTTTATAGCAGTTCCACATCAGCGGTCAGTGATCTGAAAGTCAGGGACCAGAGGAATCTGCATTTTCAAATGAATAAATTCCATGCGAGCCTAAGTACAACAGCTTGAGAGAGAAGAGTCATCTCCAACAATTTCTTTTGGCAGATGGGCAAAATACCAAAAGATCCACGAACTTGCCTAGTGTCCTCCAGGCAATCAGAAACAACCCAGTTCCATCTCTTTTGAGGATCAGTCTACTTGACATGTATCTCACATATACAGAGTGCAGGATTCACTCTCCAGAAGAACTGCAATTCATCTCATTTTTAAGGATGAAGAGAGCCTTTGCGGTTGGCTTTTAGGCTCCTAAGTAAGATTCTGAGTTTCAGGATTTCGTATTAGTATATTTTATGTTTTGTAAATTCGAAACACAATCTTAAAGCACAGATGTAATTGAACAAACACTAACGTAATACTAGTATTAAATTTAGATTTTAAAACCACCAAAACATCAAGAGGTATGCTAAAAGCGCAAAAAAAAAAAAAAAAGCTACAGATATACTTCCTGAGGACTTGAAAGTCCCAACTTTCCTTACGAAATGGCAAGTTGGCCACTTCTTGACCCGTTTCATCATCTTTTCATGTGCTTCTTCTTCTTGTAGAAGAAACTGATCACCTAATTTCTGTCAGAATTGGCTTGGATGTTGGCTAGCAGGACATATAACTTGCAACCTGAGAAATCCCTTCTGATTTTATGCGTGCGCGCGCGCACACACACACACACACACACACACACACACACACACACACACCCCTATTTTAATTAGGAAGGAAGCTTGAGTAAATCAGCCTGGTGCTAGTCTCCCTTAGAAGCTGTGCCCAAGACTGGTATATAGCAGTCTTAATTGTCAGAACTAGTTAGGTAACACATTTGTTGGTTCCCATTTGCTCTTGAGGTTGATCCATGGGGAAATGCCTGCCGAAATATTAAATCTTAAGTCTTTTGCCCCACCCCCCAAAAAAAGTCTGTGAGTTTGTGAGCTTAAGCTCCTGTAAAATAGACACCAGCAGATTTAGTTCCATAATATGCAGTCTATTCTGCACAAAGAAATAAAGGAGACTGGGTCGTGTTAGGTTATGCAATTACCTGAGCATCATCAACCCACGAGGAACATGAACAATTCAGACAAGCATTCGGTCAGTTGCTGGTCTTAAAGCAGAACTAAAAAAATTGCCAGTGGAGGCATATACAGGAGATTAATTAAACAGTTCTCACGTTTAAGCTTTGCTTTCACTAACCTAACTTCATTTAATTTTATGTGATATTGAATTTTTATTATAAAAGTAATCATGTTATTTTTTATAAATCCAGAGGCATAGAATCCAGAGGCATAGAAAAAAATTATTAATCTGCTCACCAGCTTCTTTCAATTCTCCCTCACTCAGGTATCCAGTGTTAAGATGTTCAGGTGTGTTTTTCCACATTTTTTTCTCTCACAAAACACACACACACACACACACTCAATAAGCTTAGTACTATTCTCCCTTTGAAGTTGTGCCTAAGAGTGGTATACAGCAATCCTAATGTCATAACCAGTAAGGTAAAATGAGGATTAAATTTATGTGAGATCTATATCTATATCTATACCTATCTATCTATATCTATATATCTCATGTAAGTTTAATCGCTTTTAAAAATAAAAACAAGATAATACCATGCTCATTATCCTGAAGCTTTTTTTTTTTTTTTTTAAACTTACAATAACCTGGAGATTCCTTCAAGTCAACTCGCAATCATTCTTTTTAATTCCTGTACAAATTCCACATACTGGCCAAGTAATGTCATAATGCATTTAGCATTAATGGACAATTGGGTTGCATCCAGATTTTTGCTACTAGAAAAAAAAAATAGCACAGTGTGCAATGATAAATTCCGTACCTGAGCTTTATAGAACCTGGGCTAAGTGTACCCCAAAGAGAAAATTTGGGAAGATTTTATGAACTTCATGTGTAAAGGATAGTACTAGTCTTACCTCTTATAACATGCTTTTTCCCACATAAATATAAATCTTTTAAATTATTTGTATATATTCCATGATATGGTTATACTATAATTTATTTGTCTAAATGTAATTTCATCACATAAGTCCCCGTTAATAGATTTTAAAAGTTTTCCAAAACTTTACTACCGTAAACAGTGTTACAATGAACACTCTTACCACATTTGGAATATTAGCCCGATATTCCTTCAAGATAAGTTCCAACAAGTGAAATTACTGAATAAAAAAACATGCACGTTAAACTTCTTATACATACTACAAAATTGGCCCCTGAAAACACAGTATACTCCTACCAACGATTTATGAGAATTTTTATGCCTTGCTTAACGTTGGATATTATCAGTCACTCTCATTTTCGAACTATGATAAGCAAAGTATTGTGGTTTAATTTGCATTTCTTTGATTAGCATAATGTTGCACATTTTTTTTTCCCACCTCTTCTATCAGAAGATTATGGTGGGACTAGTCTGATTTATGGTTATTATGTAAGCCCTGACAGTAACGCAAGTGGCTGGCTTAAGCTTCTATTGGTGAGGCATCCATTTCGAAGATGGCTAGCTTGAATAAACACATTGCCAGCCACTGGACTAAATGAAGAGTGAGGCTGTGCCACCTCACCCCTCGGCCCTCCCCAGGCTCCTTTGTTTCAGAGATCTTAGCTAATTTTGATAACTGATCATTTGGGCAACTTGTTTTTTCTCTTCTTGCACTTTAAATTCCCACTCTTATGTTTTATTTGATTTGATTTTTTTTCCCCCTCTTTAATCCCCCCGCCACTCCCACCCCTGACCCATGGATGTTGCCGTTTCTCCTTGAGAACTGGATCTCTGAAGGCGCACGTGCACCCAGGGCCTGGGGCCTGGGGCCTGGGGCTTGGTCTGTGGCTCCACCTGGGGCATGAACCCAAGACCTTCTGCGTGC